CTGCGGAGAACACCAGCTGCAATGCCGGCATGGTCAGGGGACCAGATGGAAAGTGATCCTGCCATGTCAGCCAGGCATGGGGAAGGCAGGAGTGCAATGGTCTCACCGCCCAGAATGCTGAATTGCCTTTTATCGAGGGAAATCTCTTGCTGCTCCCAGCTGTTTGCATCTTGTTTCTTCTGGAGAATTGCACCGGACGGCTTTGCCTGTGTCGAGAAGGTAGAAGGTTTGCTGTTTTCGGCAGGTGCTCCCCACTCTGAAGATGACTCTAGGGCAGGTTGGTGCAGAGGAGGCAATGAGAGACCAGGATCCAGGACTCATACCCTGCTGGCTTTCCTCTCGAGACCGTGAGAGGTGTAAGGAACGACTCATATGATCAGGAGGGGAGGACCTGGATGAGCTCTTATCCCGTTTCCATTCTTGGTTTTCTTTTGGAGCAGATGTGCTTCTGCTCTACCAGTTTCTAAAACAGTCATGCATATGCAAGTGTGCCAAGAGTTTTAAGTGTCTAGTAATGCTAGTTACTTGTATGGCTAAATTTGTGTCAGCAATTAGCTTCTGTAATAGGTTTTCCTGCGTATGTAATCGCTTCTGTGATTTATGTTCCCTGTGTTCATTTAGTCTGCACAGAAGCCTGGCCCAGCTTTGCAAGTCTTAGTCTCTGCGTGTGCTGCCTTATTTCAGGCTGCTGCTGGAAACACCCTGCAGCAGCACAGATCTGGCTGCAGCTCCAAGGTATAGCCAGGTTGGTGATTGCAGGTTTTCTGTTATTGCCGATGGTCTCGCTTTTCATGTTGGGTGGCATGTGGCAGGTTCCCTCTGTTAATTAGAACAAATGTGCCAATTATGTTAATGTATCTCCCGATACCAATCAGTGAATAATTAGAGACAACACATCTGTCTCTCACCGGGGAGTGGGATGACAGAAAAGACACTACAAGGTATGTTGCTCTAAATTACAGCCGCCTTGGATCGTGTGGTTCCTCAGCTGATTATGGGGAGGGCTCAGACTCATGACAGGCTTGCCAGCATGTTAGCAGCACTGGACGTGCAGATCCAGCACAGCTGGTAGGAGCCGTGTGCCTCACTGCTCCCCAGATTGCATCCTGAGCACTAAGGAGCTCTGACCAAAAGGTAGCTGACTTCAGGTGTGCTCCAGCCTCTCAGCATCCACAGTTGCTGCGGGTCAGGATTTCATTCACTGCACTCACACCTTTACAGAGGGGCCTTTTCTGGCTAGTCAGTTTGCAAAAATATAACAAAAATGTCTTGAGTGGAAAACCAAAAAAAATGAAATGGGGATTTCATGCCTGCTTTGTTCCATGGGCCTGGTATGTAAGAAAAAACAGTTGCACTTTGTTGTAATTTTCCATCACTGTCATCTCCACAAGGGAACACTTACCCCACACTTCATGGCAGTTTTGTTGCCAATTAAATTATTTCTGTTATGATAAGGAAAAACTGATGCCCAGGCTTTTTCTACATATATGCACAACCATCCATACATTTATTAATAACAGTTGGAGGGATGTGCCTGATTTAATTGAATAAATAGAGCTAGGTACCTGTTCAAGAATCATTGTGACTATAGCCAGTAAATATACATCCTCAATATTTAGGCAACAGCAAATATCTACTCTAGAAATGTCTTCTCCAGAGAGTTGAAAAATGGAGCCATGAGGGCGTGATTTGGTATGACCCTAAAGACAGGCATCTTGTGCACTTTGAAATGCCACTCGCCTAGAAGGGTGCAGGTCTCTGGCACATAAATGTCCAGTGTTCCATCTGCCAGCCTTGTTGCAAGCATGGCGGTTTTCCCTGGGCACCAGTCACTATTATTCAGGCAGCAGAATTAAATTCAGGATAAGTTTCTTCATTGACTGGATTAACAGCCTACTTCAGCGAGGGGGCTGCACCTTGGGGAATGACATGGCATCAAAAGATATCGTTGCTTTTAACTTCTGTAATAACAGTTTGCATACCTGTCATTCATAAATCACACTGTCTCATTCTGCTTTGTTCTCTTCTCTTTTGTGTTTGACACCTGATCTCTTCCTACTTACTTGATAGAACAGCCCTGCTCCAATCCCACCTATTCTGGTTACCTCAAAAATATAAATCTAAGGTTTGGTGGTGCAGAGCACTGCAGTCACCTGCACCAGAAAAATGAAGCCGTTAGTAACTGAAAATAAATTCCGACAAAAGTCTCGTTTACATTTTGTAGTGTGTTTAATTAGTTATCCTTTCTGCAAGGACTGAGGGAGAAAACATGTCCGCTGGAGGGGTGTGCTCTTCATGTTGCTCTACTGATGGCTAAAATGTATATGAAAGCAGACTCCTGTCTTTTGTCAAATCATACATCAGTTTCCCCCTTCAGATTTAGTGACTTTATCATTTGCTACATGAACAGACTCATGACATCATAAAAAACAGGATGCCAGAAGAAGACTGAATTAGACATGTTAAAGATGCATCTTATAAAAGTGATGGAGTTTAGACATGCACAGGCAGTACCAATGTCCTGGCAAAACAGTTTTTTTCCGAAAAAAAGTCATCCTGCAAACTTAATGTTTTATCGTTAGCAAATTCTGTGAGCCATTAGGTGAAAAGGATCTTTTTCCTAAGAGATTTGGTGAAGAGCCAGAGGCTGTATACTGAATTATACAGAGTATCTTTTTTTTGTGATATTGGCAACTCCTGTTTTCATATCATCTTCAGTGTTTTTGCAGAGATGAAAGGGAATTTAATGCTCATAGCTTTAATTTTGTCTAATCAGCTGAGACTCAGACTGAATATGCATGTGTGTGTTTTTGTGGAGAGAGAAAGTGTTGCAGAGTACTGGAAAAAGAGGACCACATGCTTGAGCATGGAGCCTTGCTTAGTGCCGAGGACAGCTAGTGTATGTGCTTGGATGGGCATACCAGAAACATTTTGGGATGAGCCTTCGACCACTGGATGACTGTTGTCCTGTCCTCACTGATGTCCTGATGTCCTCAATGCGCAGAGCACAGGAAAAGTGCAGGTGTATTCGAAGGTGGTACACAGCTGTCGCAGCACATGTAGCATCTTTTAGAGTCCTGACACAAGTCTGTGGTCCATCCCAGAAATAAATAACGATATTAAAACCCAAGAAAGACATTTTGTGTGAGAGGCAGGGCTTAAGTGGCAGCCTACCACTGGAAGAGAGTTTTTACAGTCTGGGATGCATGTAGACTTGACCTGTGGGTGAGGAAGGAGCTGAATATTGTCATTGACTGAACAGGAATCTGTCTGTCTTGATTATACCTGGTACCCATTAGGATTCAAGAAAGGAGGAAGAACAATTTTAGTCATTGACTAAGAGCTTGTATCTTCCGTGGTAAAACATGAATGTTGTAGTGACAGAAACACAGCCTCCAAAGTTTTATGTCTTTTTTTTTCCTGCCCTGGTCCTCACAGACACACGTATCCATTTCCACAGCTCTTTTTGCACCATTAATTTTAAGCTATACAGTATTGATAGTTGTGAGGCTACCACATACTGCAGCGATCTGCTGTGGGAGAGGAGGGTTTAAATCAAGCCTTCCCCGGGGCAGTGCCTTTACATTCACTAAGGTGTACGTCTTTGGAAGCAGCTCACGTCTGATGCACACCCACCCAAACTGGGGTAGGGGAGCTGGAGCTGCTTAAAGTAAGGGTAAAGATGGGGAGTGGGCAGTGGGCAGCTTGAATCTAAGCCCACGTCCACCAGCACTGGTCTTGCAGCATTGGACCGGCTCTGTCTGGGAATGAATTGAGCCCTCTGTGTTTAAGACCGGGAGAGGCCATTGGGTTTCTCCCCACAGCTTGGGGCAGTCTGTACGGCTGTCTCAGCGGGAACAGGTTCTCTGTTGGTTTGGGGGTATGTTGATGCTCAGGCAGTTCCTCTAATGTCTTTGGAAAAGTGGGGTTTGTAAGAGCAGGTCTTGGCACCTCGCAGGTCCAGTGGGTCGATTGTGTTTATGTTTTTCTTCCTTTAATTAAATCCTGGGCACGAGCTGAAGTGATCCAGTGACATCAAGGCCCAGCTTTGATCCATCCAGGGCCCCAGTCCAGTCCTTCAGAGCACGCTCGGTTCAAATGAAAACAAGCTACCAGATTTGCAGCCAAATTATATTAGAGCGGCTCGCAGCAGTCAGCTGGGATATAATACAGTGTTTCTTTAGGAAGGCAATAAAGAGAACATTGTCTAGATTAAAAATCACATATGAAAATATTTTCTGTGTAACCGAGGAAATTACGCTTTATTAAAATAAAATATAGCTTACATAAAGAAAAGGGAAAAATAAGCACTGATGCAGTCTTTGTGATTCCCTATTTCCTTGGTAACTATTTCCTTGGTCTCTATTTTGTTTAATCCGGATTGCAGCAAAATGGTAACATGCATGTACATGTGAGTGCATGTGTGCTTAAAAACATTGGCATGTTTGTAATTTGTTAGTGTGATCTACTCTGGTGTAGGGCCTCATTGTGTTAGACCCAGGTCAGGTATGTACAAGGTTACTGCATTATTAGCTGCCTAATTAGACAAGATGTACAAAAGAATGGGTGAGATCTCTGCTGATTTAGGGGTTTTGATGTTGTAAGGGAATTTTCTGTTTGTAGATATGGTCCCAAGGTATCACCCCTTCCTTATCCCTTGCCTCAGACTCTGAAAGCATAGAACAGCTATTTGTCTCTGTGCAGTAGCTGGCAGTCTTTGAAAATGCATTGATATTTTCAAGGCAAGGCAAGACAGCTCTTGTGTGGAAGGGTGGGAGGGAAGGGGACCTGAAGGAAAGGGTAGGCGTGAAGGGTGTTCTCCCACGTTTCTGCCATCCTGTTTTATTTCATTTGGCAGTGTGCCTCAGGTGAGTCCTTCATGATGTGCCTTGACTCATAACACTTTCTGGGATGAGCAATGTACTCACAGATACTGTGACCATTGTGGTGTGACCTGGTGCTGACTCATTGCCTCCCCTTTGCCCCTTTGAAATCCCAAGGTTGAGTGGCTGAAGAACGAAGAGGTGATTGATCCCGTGGAAGACCGAAATTTTTACATCACCATCGATCACAACCTGATCATCAAGCAAGCCCGGCTTTCTGACACGGCCAATTACACTTGTGTCGCAAAAAACATTGTGGCCAAAAGGAAAAGCACCACAGCGACTGTGATTGTCTATGGTAAGTGATGCCTTGTCCCACTGCATGTGGATGGATGCGCACTCAAAGCGAGAGGTGGGGCAGGAGGGGGATGCAAAATGCCTGTATGCAACTCTTAGTGCGGGCAGTGTCCAGGCTGGGCCACCTGTGCTGCCTGTTGACTTGCAGCCATATGCAGGGACTGCAGTAAGGGTTCATTACTGAAAACACTCAGAAGTACGGGCCTGATGGCTTGGCTTATCGGTGACAGACAATGGCATTAAAGGAGGAACAGGCACCTACACAACCAGCCAGCTGCCTCACTGAAGACAAGGCAGTTGCTCCCCTTTCCATTACACATGCCAGCTGGATGCAGCAAGGAGCCATTAGGGCACTTGCTCCAGCAGGACTGTCCAAGACATTGCTTTCTACCAACGCATTTCACATTCTTAGTGATGCTTTTCAGAAATAAGAGTAAAACCAAAAGGAAGTTTGTGCTTCCAGATACTGGTAAGAGTGTCAGAGTTCAGCAGAATCTTCCATCTTCTTATATCTCTTTTAATAAACTTATTTTTGGTGTCTACTACCAAAACATACTCTGATGTCAGGGGCAAAGTAGCAAAGCATTCTGGGAATGCAGTTCACAGGCACACAACCTAGCTTAAAAATAAACATCGAGGGAATACAAAGTGTGGGATAACATTACTCTGTGTCTGCATCCACAGTCCTGATATAATATTGAGGCTGGCCGTGCTTTGGCTGGGGAGGGGTCGGATGAGATGCCCTCCTGAAGTCTCTTCCAGCCTGCGTTGCGCTGCAGCTCTGCCCCACCAGTCCAAGCTTTTGCCCCTGCAAAGTTACTGCCCCGATGCGTCCCAGGCAGGGGTATCCATCAGAACAAAACCTGCTCTGACGACATGCCAGCTGACTGTCCTGGTGTTCCTTACAATCAGCTTAATTATAGGATAGACAAGTAGGAAAAAATCCCTATGATTATCCCTAATATTCATTTCATATTCAGGGTAGCAGTTAGATTTAATTGTAAGCAGTTGCTTCCCTGAAGTTACAATGAGGGCCTTTTAGTTCAGTTTTTATAGAAAACCGACTGAATTGAGTTGATTAGCAGTGTTTGTGATATTGAGGGATGGACCATGCAAGAGCACTGTGTTTTGTAACTGTGATGAATGCAGAAACATAAAGATGCAGGCATACTGCAACTCTTCCTCATACATATACAGCATTTTTTTCAACAGTGCAGTCAAGAGACATATGTAGGAGAACAGCCATTTTTATGGGGTTTGCTGCCAGAGCTGCTTAAGGGTTGTGTCATATCACAAACATTTGGGTTTAGGGAATCTGAGCAGTTAGTGTGTTATCCATATCCTGGTGATGACATTATTACATAGACCACCACAGCTCTTTCTTCATCCATCCCTCTATCCCAGAAACTGAGGTGGGTGACAAAGAGAGTCAGCATAAATATCTTCCCAAAGTTCAATAGTAAAAATGCATTTAGTGTGAGTTGACTCTGGACAGCTTAAATATATGCTGTGGAAGTGCTGGGACATTCATATGCACCAGCTATGTCCACAGAGGGGTGAGTGAAATTGTCCTGACATCCTGCAATCACCTTTTGGAAAGAACAAGAAAGAAAATTATCAATTTGTAATCGAAACACAGGGGTCTCTCAGCATGTATAGATGATGGTTACATCCGAGAATGAGCTGGAGTGCAGGGCACCTCCCTTTGGAAAATGGTGCAGCTGTCAGAGCGCAGGCTTCTGGCTGGCGGAGCTGTGGGTGCTCTCTGAACCCACAGGGATTTTGGCCGTACACACACCTTAGTCCTGGGTCAGGTCGGTTGTCAGGAGAAGGCAGGTCACCAGCCAGCCCTAATAGTCATCAAATGGTATTTGTCATTCAGCGTCAGCATTTCTTCGACTTGTACAATGACTTCTGGCATGCTGTACATTCAGTACGTTGGAGACATGGGTTTGTGTCTGTTCAGTGTTGCTTCTCATGCTCTTCCCAGCTGTCACTTGTGACTCCTGTTGGAGGCAGCATGACACAGAGCCAGAGGTACCTTTGAGATGACCAGGGTGGCTTGCCTATACTATCATACACTTTCTCTCTTGCTTTTCAGTGAATGGAGGCTGGTCTACCTGGACTGAGTGGTCAGTGTGTAACAGCCGATGCGGGAGAGGCTTTCAGAAGCGTACAAGGACCTGCACCAATCCTGCCCCACTCAACGGTGGTGCCTTCTGCGAGGGCCAGAGCGTTCAGAAAATAGCTTGCACCACTCTGTGTCCAGGTTCAGTATGAACAGTACATAGCCCTAGATAAACGGTTTGTCTGTCACCAGTCATTTCAGGAGAACTCTATTAGTTACAAAAGCCTCCTTCTCTTTATTAATAAATCCAACATTTCAGTGAATGAATATGAAATTGTATTGCGTAAGTAGATAAAATCATCATTTACATCATACCAGGCAGCAAGGGATTCAGCCTTACTTTTGCACACAGCTTGCACCGGTGTCTCAGCCCTGGTAATTCAGGGGATTTGGGGAACATTCAGAACTTCAATTGTGGGAGATAAATGTTGAAAGCTCTGGAAAAGGACTGGAATTTGAATATAGAAAGCAACTATGATGTAAATATATTTGCAGCGTCTCTTCAGTCCAGCTGTCAGAGCAGGTGAAGCGTCTGGGGTGTGGATGTTAAAATTGAGGCACGTGTTTACTTAACTTCAAATACAAAGATGTTTATACTGGAAAGAGATGTGTATCCATGCCTTTAAAAGGTATTTAAATGTAAACTTCTGAAAAATACAAAATTGTCTCATGCAAGGTAGTTGGTGGCTTTTTTGTGACAAAAGTTCTGCCATCTGTCCTATTGTTCAATGCTTTCCTACCTCTGCAGTCCCACTCAAATCGATGGCAGTAAGGTCATTTTCACCTTGTGAAGCTTGGCCATCCAACTCTGGGTCTTAGTGGTGGGTGGAACTTGATGAGCTGAAATTTCATCTCTGGTCGGTATTCCAAGTGACTGACTCCTGGCTCAGGCTGTGTCACTAGAACAATTTCATAGTTTGTTCTTCAGCTGTTCAATTTAGTGCTTTTGAAAATCATTTGTGGGATTTTGAAAGGTGCTAAACACGTTCCTGATTCTGCTCATGTGAAATAGTTCAGTGCCTCTAGATATATCTTTTAATAGAAAATATTTAACATCAAATATCTTCCTGCTAAAGAAGAATTTCTGGCCAAGCTTGACTTCCTTAACTTTAACCTCTTTGTTAAAAAATGCCAAAAAAAACCCCCAAAACCACAGATTCCTGACTTGTTGCTCATTTTCTTGTACACATTGAGCACAGATAAACTGCTGACTAGTTTATAGAAGGGGGAGGAAAGAGCAGAAATGGGGCCGGCACAGAGAGAAAGGAGAGGGAGAGTGAGTGTGCATCCACAGGCCAGAAATAGAACTTTAAGAAGAGCAGACTGACTCTTTTTAAGAAGATCAGACTGACAATCTTTCTGCCTTGCCAGGAATGGCCAGGAGTTGCAGGCTAGCTTGTGCCGAGACATGCATCGCTCCAGCTTGGTCTCACTTTTATGTACCCCATAACAAGTCGTGTCCTTTCTTTGTCTCAGTGGATGGCAAGTGGACGTCCTGGAGCAAGTGGTCCACCTGTGGCACGGAGTGCACCCACTGGCGCCGGAGGGAGTGCACAGCCCCAGCGCCAAAGAACGGGGGAAAGGACTGCGAGGGGCTGGTGCTGCAGTCCAAGAACTGCACCGATGGGCTCTGCATGCAGGGTAAGTGCCGCTGTGATGCCTCCGGGGTCTGGGTTGTATGTGGCTGCAGGAAAACCTGCAATAGCTGCAGATCAGCATCAACAACCTAAAGTCACAGAATCACCTGTAGGATGGAGAAATGAGTTAATCCAGTTCTCACCAGTCTGGACACCTCACTCTTCTTCCCTGAAGATGAATGTAATGCCGTCTGAGGTTTATGAAGTTGAGCAGTGAAGAATTAGAAAGTCTCATAACAGAGCCCTCTCCTCCCTGCCCTCTCCTCCATACAGTCCTTCGCTCTAATACCGGCTCAGCATCTGTCCAGGGAAGCCTGGCAGTGACTCTTATGGCAATGCAAATGAAAAGCAGAGGGTTTAGGGCAAAGCCAGCATTTCCAAAAGAGTAAACTTGGCAAAGCAGATCAGCTTATGGCTTCTTACTGTCAGGAATGGTGGATGCATGTGTTTCTACATATAATAGTTATGCCTCTTTTTCAATCTGAGGTGCCCTGTAGTAGAAAGAGGTACCCTGCATCTATTTAGTGCCTGTGCAAACTTCCTATATAGTTATCAGCATGCTGGAGCCTCATGAAGATCAGGTCTATCACTGAAGTCTATTCTGCCTGCGCCTATTCACGCCATGATCCTGCCTTTGTGACTAATAAGAGCGAGAAGTAAAAATAAGTAGGCTTTTAGTGTGATTCTGACATATGCTGATGAACAATTAGTCTTCTCTGCACCCCATCAGCTCTCAAAAATGAGGTCTTCTCTGTTTTGCTGGTGCATTGAAACTTCCTTTCACATTTTGTTAGCACAATAACCTGAGCCAAAATCCTCACATACACCTCCTGTTTCTTCATCCTGTCTCTGCAGTATTTCTCTGTCAAGCCTCAGCTCTCCATTGCCCAAAGCCTTGTGGTTGTAACTGTCTGGTATCTATGTGTCCAGATCATAAAATGCTTTTGAGTTCTCTCATGAAAAAGGAGTCAGGAATTTTTATTCTCTGAGGCAGGTTACCTTTGACTGAAATAGTCACAATGACAGAAAAGTGACACTACTAGCTAATAAATAGGTCTACTTCTTGAAAAAGTGACATATAGATGGCTACTGTGCTGGCAGTGATCTCTGAGCTACTCTATGGCACAGCATGGCCATTTGCTCCAAAGTTTCCCAGATTTAGAAAAAAGGCTGCTTCAGTGTGGCTTGCACAAACACTTTCATCACGTTAAAAACTATTACTCAATGTCAGCAGCCTATAAAGCTGTAATTCCTCAAAACATTTGTTTTTATGGGGAAGACAGAAAGTGAGATTCAGAGCTCCTCTCTGTTTTTTTTCTAAAGGTAGAAAAAAAATAAAAATCCAGCCACGTCTGACTGTATAACACCTTGGTGACTTTTATAGTGGGGAAGCTAACGTACCCCTAGCTCCAGCAGTGTGAATAAGTCATTATGGGAAATTAGGAAGAAAAGATACATTTCCCCATATAGAAGAGCTCTTCACTATCAGATTATATTTAGACAGGTGTATGTCATCTCTGTGTATGTGCATAAAGAGAGCCATTTAAGCAGAAATCTTGTGGAAAAGTAGATATAATGGTACGGCAGAATAAAAGCCCTGTAGGGATCTCATTTATCTGTTGATGGTATATTGCATTTTATTTGTGAAAGCGGATGCTGATTATAAAGCAGAGGTCTTCAGCGGGAGAGAGGGCGAGGCTGTTGTGAATCCTATTCTGTTTCATATATATGTGTATAAAAAATGGTAATGAAAAATATACAGTCACATATTGACCTGCTTGGCTCCAGGGGCTGTGATAATCCTTCAGTGTTGGAATTTAATGGCAGTGTTTTAATGGTGTCTTTATACTTGCGGGGTTTCATATACCTGTAAAACTTGCAGTCCTGCTCCCTGATCCATCACTGCTGAGAAGATTGATTTGCCGTACTTGGTGGCAGTGTGCCTGCTGCTCTCTCTCTTCCTCTCTCTTTTTCTTTATTTCTCCTTCTCAGTTTATGCAAAACCAATCTGAACACTTACATTTTTACCAGCGTGGATCCAGATTCATAGCAAATCTTCCTGCTGAGCTAGGAGGAAACACAGGACTCCTTTCATTCCTAAAACACCATGCCTTTTTCCACATTATTTGAGGTTGGTGGGGACTGGCCTGGAACTGACATTTCTCCTAGCCTGGAGACCTGTGGATCCACAGCAGACTTCTCCAACGCCTTCATGCCAGTGGGTCTGTCATGGCACGGGTGGCATGGAGGGAGCCACAGCCGCCTTTCCTCTGTGGCTGTAGCCCTCTGGGAAACGTGTTGGCCGGCTGCTTACCTGCACCATAGCCAAATCCTGCTCCTAGGTGCCCTGGTGCTTCCTCCTTAGTGTACGTCTTTAGTGAGAGCTTGAAGGTTGTCTTTAGCACCATGGGTGTAGTTAAGGTCAAAGAATTAGTAGACGGACTTTCTTACCAGGAGTCATTAGGATGTTGCTTTGAAAAAAACTCACTTGTAAATATATATCTCTATATAGCTGTACATAAAAGATATCCTGGAAAATGTTGGATTGAGTGAGTCTAATTTACAAGCCCTTTCTCTTCCAGTCTATTATTCACTTCAGTGGCATCAGCTGGATAAATCAATAAGCTCTTTCATCAGACTGCCCGTGCTCCAGCAAAGAGCAACAGTCTGCACCACTATCGATTTCTGTGGGGATAAAAACTGTGGAGCTTTCTCCATCCCTTGTAATTACAGTATTTTACACCCAAAGCTCTAGTTTGTGCTTACCACTAACTGTGGCATTTCTCGTGCAACTCTGCTGTCACATTTATTCAGACTAATGATCTTGCTAGTACACACATACGCTCCCTTATCCAGTAGTTAGTATTTTTCTGTTAACATGAAAGGATGAACAGTCATTAAACTAGAAAGCCTGCAGAGAGACAGCAGGCTGAATTGAAGAAGAAAAGCAGCTGTAGTGAAAATTCAGGACGGTCATTGCTATTTTAAGTTTCCAGATACACAATATTGCCTAGCAGGTCCCATTGTAACAATTTCATAATTCCCATAATAGCATTAATATGATCTTCCGGAACAAAATATGCTGTAGGTGTAAGAAGAATTGGCTGGTTACCACCCACGCTAGTTGCATTATTGCCTCCAAAGTTGCATTATTTCCCATTTGAAGTATGAGTACTGTGGTAAATACTTCAGTGCAAGGAACAACACTTTTAAAGGCATGCACTGCATCTCACAGGGGATCTCTATAAACTGAAACACTGCAATTAGCCCTCCACTCATCCCACCTAATGACTTTGGTGGGTGTTCTGTGTGGGAACCAAGAAAGCGAAGCACTCCACTGCTGGCTCAACTTCAGCACAAGTAGTTCCCTTCACTAGATCACAAATATGTTTAAAGCAATGTACAAGGGGAAGTGCTTTGCTGGGCCCAGTCTGGAATGACTGCGAGATCATGTGTGCGGTACCAAACAGATGCTAAAAGTCCCTGGTGGGCCGAATTCTGCTTTGCGTTATGTGTAAAATGCTGCTGGTAATCAGGAAGAGGTGGGCAACCTATGAAGAGAGTTAGCTGTGTTGCACGGTTATGTTAAAGGCTTATTACACGAGTCATGACATGCAACTGTCATGCTCACAGCATGTCACCTGTGTCCTTTCTGTTGAGGAACTGAAGTGACAGTGTTCAGATCTGTATTGTCCCTGTCCTGAATAAATTAGTACAGAAAGTCCATAGGCGTGAGGTTGGTGCCTGTGCATGCTGGCAAAGCTGTTGGTCTTTTCTGAAATCATGCCTGTGATACGCAGGGTTGGCACTAGCACAGTCAGAGGAAGACAACCAGTGCTCCTTCTTCAGCTCACTCTTGGCTTTAGTAGACCATTGTGGCTTTCCATAAAAGGCTGGCTAAGTTGTGCTTTCAATTTTTTCCAAAACACAGGGCTAGCTATCTTACAGCAGCAAGGTAATACTGAAGCACATGTTGTCGCTTGAGGACTATGGATTATATAGTTACATAAATAGTACTGTTGCTCTTTGTAGTAAAACCTGTTTGCTTTATACAGTCTAACAATATGGAATACAAATCCATCATTGAATAGGGCCAAAAGGAAATTTCCACTTGTGAATCATTGCCAAGTGTCATCAGATCCAGTGTGGACTTTTCCTTTGTTGCTTGGATTTAAATAAATGCACATGAAAAGACTGAAACGTGCTACTGTTGCTAAAGAAAGGAAGAAAAGATTCAAAAGATCTTCATCCGTCATCTGGACTAACTCTCGGGTCACTTTGGTTCTCTCCCTGCATGTAGCTTAACTACTTGGAAATTCAAATAGCAGATACACCACTTGAGAAAAAGGCACCTATACCATGGTGAAGATGTTATTATCAGACTAGTAATTCCATTCCTTGTTAAAAAAAGGTTGCCTTCTAGTCGAGAGTGAATTGATGTGAAATGATGTCGGCAAATCTGTATTTGCTGAGCACTTTGAAATCCTGGTCTGAAAGGCAGTATGAAGTTCATAAGGTTCCCTCTTACAAAGATAGTGCCTAAGCGAGTGAGAAGATGCAGTTTGTCATGCTTGTGCACAAAATGGTTAACTGCTGCCCTTTTCCAGTCTCATGCCTGTTTATACACAGATCTTGAGTAGAAAGCAAGGTTAACCTGATACTAACATCTCTTTCTTCCCAAAACATATATATTCTGCGCATGCCCGGCTTGTTTAACATAACATGCCAGAACCTCTGATGGAATAAGCATTTGTTTCCCTTTTTGGCTTGTTTTGAAAGCAGGCATTCAGGGAAGAATTACAGGGCAGAGCAGTTTGATGAGGACCTCTGGTCCTCCAGAGCAGATTAGTGTGCAAAGAGCAGGGGAATGTTTTCCAGACTCCAGAAGGTAAGCAAAGCTCTCTCAAGGGAGACTGCAACAGAAGCCTGTGTGTGCAGAGGAATGAAATAAACCCTTTTATTAAGAGCATGTGGGTCAAGAGAGAACTTCTAATATGTTCAGTC